ACATAAAAAGAAATTGAAGTCAGAATAAAATGTTTTATATATATAAAAGGATTAAATGCTTTTAAAATTTCAAACAAAAGAAAAATTGCTATTTTGTTTTGTTATAAAGGAAGTTTACCAGAAATAAAAAATAAAGGAAACTATTTCCAAAATACTAAGATACAATGAACATGAAAACATTAACATAGCCATTCCTTCATATGCTATGAAATGATAGCTGAATTAAAATTTATATTAACAATATATCAGTTCATCTCTTGGCTATCACTGCTTAGAAGACAAGGGTGTGGCACTCTAGTCCTAGTCAGTGGAGTGCACAGCCATCCAGGAAGTGCCAGTGTAGGTGTCCAGGAGTAGAAGGAACGAAGGACAGAGAGGCCCTTCATGTGAATAAAACTCAAGTTTTCCAACAGGAGGATTTTGTTTTTGAATGACTTACTTTTGTCTTATGAGCATTGGTGTTTTGCCTGCATGTATGCCTGTGTGAGGGTGTCAGATCCCCTGGAACTGGAGTTACAGACAGTTGTGAGTTGCCATGTGGGTGCTGGGAATTGAACCCAGGTCCTCTGTTAGAGCAGCCAGTGCTCTGCTGGGGATTCTGCTTTCTTTCTGTATGCTGTGAATGTGTTGTTCTGATTGATTGATAAATAAAATACTGATCGGCCAGTAGCCAGGCAGAAAGTACAGTATAGGCAGGATAAGCAGAGAGGAGAATGCTGGGAAATGGAAGGCTGAGTCAGGAGATGTTGCCAGCCGCCGCCATGAGAAGCAAGATGTAAAGTACCGGTAAGCCATGAGCTATGCGGCAACATATAGATTAATAGAAATGGGTTAATTTGAGATATAAGAACTAGATAGGGGGGCTGAAGAGATGGCTCAGAGGTTAAGAGCACTGGCTGTTCTTCCAGAGGTCATGAGTTCAATCCCAGCAACCACATGGTGGCTCACAACCATCCATAAAGAGATCTGGTGCCCTCTTCTGACCTGTAGGTGTATATGCAGACAGAACACTGTATACATAATAAATAAATAAATCTTAAAAACAAACAAACAAACAAAAAACTAGATAGCAAGAAGCCTGCCACAGCCATACAGTTTATAAATAAAATAAGTCTCTGTATGTTTACTTGGGTCTGAGCGGCTGCAGGAGCCAGGTGGACACAGGAAAAACTCCAGTTACAGTGCTCTTAATCACTGAGCCATCTCTCCAGGCCCAGAAGCACAGGAGGATTTTGAATAAAAACTGAGAAAGCCAGTTCATTTCTACAGTGTTGGCAAAATTTCCTCAACTGTCTAACCAACACACCACTTTTTTCCTGCGAAAAAGACTGCAGGAACAGACTCACCTCTGAATCTGAATCTTTACTGGAAGGCTGGGAAAAGTTCGATGCATTTAAACTGCACAGTGAGTCTATGCTTTCCTGAGATCGTGAGGACCAGGCCACCTCATGCAAGGGCTGAGACTTAGCACTTGACATTTCACTCTTTGAATGACATGTGTCAGTCACTGCACAGGTCTCGGGCAGACAGGTCTCGCTCTTTCTTCGGAACTGCTGTAATACAGTGCGTGGAGAGGGACTTGGAGTTCTTGAAAAATTTCCAAGTGTTCCTGACCAACTGAAACAACTTCTTAGTGTCCCCAGAGTGGGCGGGGAAATGGTTCCCACGAATTTGCTGGTCTCGGAAGACTGAGCCTCATCATCAGGAGACACAGTCTCATTGCCTGAGACCTGAACACTTGGCTCCTGTGTCACACTTATGTCAACCAGCTTCTGACCCTCTGTGCGTGGACAGTCCAGTGCTCCAAGGCCCTCTGTGCCTGGACAGTCTGGTGTTCCAAGGCCCTCTGTGCCTGGACAGTCTGGTGCTCCGAGGCCCTCTGTGCCTGGACAGTCTGGTGCTCTGAGGACTTCTGTTCCTGGACAGTCTGGTGCTCCGAGGCTGGTAGGACCTTTGCCTTCAACAGCAGTTTCATTTAGAGGCTGAATGCTTGCTTTTTTTGGTACGTAGTCATCAAAATTTGGAGAACTGCAAAAAAACCTAACAAGAAACAGGAAGACAGAATTATCTTTAGTATTTTATCAAGATTCAAATATCTACTTTCTTGCATAAAGCCCACAAAGATCTTGAATTTTAATTGAAGTTTAAATCTTACATTTTTTGTTGTTTTTTGAAACAGGGTCTCTTTACATAGTACTGGCTCTCCTGGGGCTTGATATGTAGACCAGGCTAGCCTCAAACTCACAGAGATCCACTTGCTTCTGTCTCCCAAGTGCTGGGATAAAGACTTGTGCCGCCTGCCAGGCTGAGGTATACATTTTATTATGATAACATGCACATCTTTAGAAAGTTATTTATATGGTAAACCTTTACGTAGAAGAGAGAGTCCAGGATTCCTAAATCCCTGCATTTGGGAGACAGAGACGGGGGATCTCTGTGTTTAAGATAAGCCTAGTCTACACAGTTCTAGACCAACCAGAAAACAAAACAAAACAAAAAAACAAACCAAAATCCTGTCTCAGTTCACAGTTGGTCCTTCCCAATTAGTCTATGGTGTTGTTTAGTTTATTTCTAGATCCTGAAAGATAAACTGAAATATTTATAGGAAAGGTGTTGATATTAATAAAGATAATTAAGACAAGATTGATTGATCAATCAGCTTCTCAAAATACCATAAAAGGAGAAACCATGGGAAGTGAAAAGAGAAGCTACAAGAACACAACTCTGACCACACAGCGTGTCCAAAGGGGCTACAGTCCTCCTGTACTCGGATTCTCCATGGGCGGATCCTGAACTAACGGTGTGGACGAGAACAACAATGCATTCTGGTCTGAACTGAGGTGTGGCGAATCATATGGACTAGAGTCACCTAGGAAAGCAGCCTCTGGA